CTGTGTTTCACCAGGCAGCAGTTGGAAATTCAGCTATGGTAATAAAGAAAAAACCTAAAGTATTCCCAACCCCACCCCCAACAGTTTTCCTTCTCAGAATGTCCTCCTTTTTCCCTTTCTGATAAACTAACCAGTGGTCAGTTTGACTCTTAACAGCTGGTCACTTATAAGGAAATAATTAACTTTATTACTATCTTAGGGTATGCCTCACTTTGGGGAAACTATGGGGATTTTTTTTCTCATCCTATTTGTCTTTATCACTATTATTTTTGCCATCTTCCTACATGTACATGCTTCCCTGAGAAATTTACTTCTTTCGAGGAACTGACAACCTGCTCCAAAACCAGCAGGGCTGAGGATCTCTCTGCCCTCTGCGCCCACCTTTTCCTCCTGTTGAGGTGACCCGATGGATCTTTAAAATGGGCTAGAGACCTGTTCTGAATGAAGTTGGTAACCGAGCTGCGCACATGCTCACCCTGTGTCCTCACCTAATAGTGCGCTTTACAGAACAGGGAAGGCTGCGATGACTCCTGTATTGTACCCTAAAAAGCAAATGGGACGCTCTTTGGGCTTCCTTCCAAGTTTTTAGATCAGGCACCCTATGTGGAAACTTCTCTCCTTTTTCTCATAGCACAGTGTTTCCTATGAGACGCTGAAGCCAATCTGTTCTCTCAACTGGCTGTGGATTCTCTATCTTCAGAGACAAGAGCGGCTACTATTTGCATAGGGCACCAGAAACACCGGCTACTATTTGCATAGGGCACCAGAAACACCGTGAATGAAAGAGGTGACTCAGAGGAATGATGGCAAGGGATAATAAGAGACCGGGATACAGTTAATTCAGAAGCATCCTTGTAAAATCCAGGGTCTCCAGGACCCGGGTCCTAGGATGCACCCAAACTGGTCAACTTTCCACTCCTAAATCACTTCGGTGGCTCCAGCATCGTAGTTGTGTTTTGTTCCGGGGCTGGGGAGGTCGTTGTCAATTGCGGGTTGGTTACATAGTAGCTTTCGTGCCTGCTGAGAAAGGATCTGTGTTGCTTGCACTCGCTTTCGCTCTCCCCCTCCCTCCCTGTAACATGCCAGCCCTTTAATGTGGAGTGTCAGGGAGACGGTGACGTCACCTTGCCCGCTGGGTGGCGTCCCCTCGGTCCGACACGAGTTCAGAGACAGAGAAAGGCACTGTCAGACTGTGCTCCACTTGGGGCTCGCCTGCCACGGGTTTCCGTGTGCCTGCGCTTACTCCGGTCCAGGGGACGCCCCGCTGCAATTCAAGCGTTCGTCCTGCCCCCCTCCCCCCCGGCCAGGGTTCGAGCGCCATTTGCTCGGACTAGCGCTGGGATCTTCAAGTGGAGCCCGCAGGAGTCCCGCCCGCTGGATTCGAGGACCCGCTTGGATGCTTCGCCTCCGAGCGCCCTCGGAAGATGGGCCGGCGACCACGCGCCTAAAGACACCTAGGGGTTACCAGGTATTGCCAGAACCCGTGGGCCCGACTCGGTACACAGCTTGCGCTGCGCTAGATTCAAAGCAACGAATTTTTCGCGTCAGGTTAAGGGGCAGAGGGGGACTTTGGGGGTGATTGGTTTGGGAACCAGGGAAATGAAGTTGGGGTTCATTGGCTATTGAGCCGAATAGGCAAGTTCGTCAGTTTCCGTCCTCAGTTTAACTAACTTTTAATTGTCTCTTTGCTCCTCAACCCCTTTAAAAAAATCCCTCAACCTAAACCTTCTTATTTATGTCTACTCTAACGGGGGTTTCTGGGGGTACTTTGGGGGTGAATGTGAAGGACACCCAGGAAGAGGGATTTCTATCTGACCTATCTCTGCTAAGACTGCGGGTCCCTAGCGCAGAACCAGCTCCCCGCCTGGGCTGACAAGTTGCGCGTCTCCTCTCACTGGGAGCGACAGTTCGAGCCATCCCAGGGCCTTCTTGAAGATAGTAAGAATCTTGTTTAGGAGGGAAATGAGCATTGAAGGGTCATTTGGCAGAGCAAGGGCTGGTTGTGTCAGGCTCAGATATCACTGTGACTTGAACTGCCATTTAACGCCCTGTCCCCTGGAAATATTGTCTCTGATCCATCCGAAGTGACAAGTTAGGCTCTCCTCTTGTCTGATCGCATCGAGGCTTGTTCAACCTTCCTGGAGGCCACAGAATGTAATGAGAGCTGAGGATCCGGGGGGCAGCAGGGCAAAGGTGTCGGGATGGATGTCACAGGGGCCTGGAGAGCCAGCAAGGATATGACAATTTAGGTGAGAAGGTAGGATAGGGTATCCTCTAAAATCGCTCCAATAACAAACTCCAGTGTACTTGGTGCAGTGGCAGTACTATGGCCACCGGTGATTTTTCCAAAGCAAAGATTAGTCTTGGCGAAGGCGTTGGTTGTGTAGCTCTGGAAAGGTCACTGCTTGTTTTTCTAGGGAATGAGCCACTACGCTTGCTTTGACGTGAGCAGCATTGCCACAAAGTTTTCTTTCACTTGCTTCCTTCTTATATATTCAATTTACTGGATATTTCTCCCATTGTGATATCCCATTGACCAGACACGAAATTAGGACTCCCCCACTTGGGGCTCGCCTGCCACGGGTTTCCGTGTGCCTGCGCTTACTCCGGTCCAGGGGACGCCCCGCTGCAATTCAAGCGTTCGTCCTGCCCCCCTCCCCCCCGGCCAGGGTTCGAGCGCCATTTGCTCGGACTAGCGCTGGGATCTTCAAGTGGAGCCCGCAGGAGTCCCGCCCGCTGGATTCGAGGACCCGCTTGGATGCTTCGCCTCCGAGCGCCCTCGGAAGATGGGCCGGCGACCACGCGCCTAAAGACACCTAGGGGTTACCAGGTATTGCCAGAACCCGTGGGCCCGACTCGGTACACAGCTTGCGCTGCGCTAGATTCAAAGCAACGAATTTTTCGCGTCAGGTTAAGGGGCAGAGGGGGACTTTGGGGGTGATTGGTTTGGGAACCAGGGAAATGAAGTTGGGGTTCATTGGCTATTGAGCCGAATAGGCAAGTTCGTCAGTTTCCGTCCTCAGTTTAACTAACTTTTAATTGTCTCTTTGCTCCTCAACCCCTTTAAAAAAATCCCTCAACCTAAACCTTCTTATTTATGTCTACTCTAACGGGGGTTTCTGGGGGTACTTTGGGGGTGAATGTGAAGGACACCCAGGAAGAGGGATTTCTATCTGACCTATCTCTGCTAAGACTGCGGGTCCCTAGCGCAGAACCAGCTCCCCGCCTGGGCTGACAAGTTGCGCGTCTCCTCTCACTGGGAGCGACAGTTCGAGCCATCCCAGGGCCTTCTTGAAGATAGTAAGAATCTTGTTTAGGAGGGAAATGAGCATTGAAGGGTCATTTGGCAGAGCAAGGGCTGGTTGTGTCAGGCTCAGATATCACTGTGACTTGAACTGCCATTTAACGCCCTGTCCCCTGGAAATATTGTCTCTGATCCATCCGAAGTGACAAGTTAGGCTCTCCTCTTGTCTGATCGCATCGAGGCTTGTTCAACCTTCCTGGAGGCCACAGAATGTAATGAGAGCTGAGGATCCGGGGGGGGCAGCAGGGCAAAGGTGTCGGGATGGATGTCACAGGGGCCTGGAGAGCCAGCAAGGATATGACAATTTAGGTGAGAAGGTAGGATAGGGTATCCTCTAAAATCGCTCCAATAACAAACTCCAGTGTACTTGGTGCAGTGGCAGTACTATGGCCACCGGTGATTTTTCCAAAGCAAAGATTAGTCTTGGCGAAGGCGTTGGTTGTGTAGCTCTGGAAAGGTCACTGCTTGTTTTTCTAGGGAATGAGCCACTACGCTTGCTTTGACGTGAGCAGCATTGCCACAAAGTTTTCTTTCACTTGCTTCCTTCTTATATATTCAATTTACTGGATATTTCTCCCATTGTGATATCCCATTGACCAGACACGAAATTAGGACTTTTATCGGGGAACCCACCCCAGGCATTGACTTGCACTGCTCCCATAGATTACCGAGTGTATGGATTATCTACTCTTCAGGGCACCTTTTCCCTAGGAAGATGTGCTGGTATCAGCAGAGATAAGGAAAAAATGTTACAGAAGGCCACTCATATTGAACTAAATTTGTCTTTTAAAATCGCCAATAAAGATCCCCCCCCCATTGTTCTTTTCTCTATATCTGGGTCTAACATATTTGCCTGTACTAACTTGCTTGTTATAATGGAAATGACAGGAAAACATTGTTTAAAGTGTCTCAGGCCTCAACTTCATCTTTTTAATCTACCTATCTGGAGCCAGACCCACTCAGCAAGTGTTTCCCCCCCACACCCCTCTTCTTGATTGTCAATGAAATATCTTGTTTTGATGCAATCATGTATGCAACTGTACTTTTTTGTACCTTTCCAAAAAGACTATTCTAATTACAGTAACAAAATATCTAATGGCAAGGATGAGGGAGAAGGGATTTCGTTTTGGTTTAATGAGCTAGCTGTGTTTCAAACAGTAGCGAATTTCCCCCAAGGAAACCACAAATACCACAAAACTCGCTTTTTAAAAGGTTTGGTTTTATTTTTTTTAACCAAAATCAATCTATTTTCAAGCAAATGTGAGTAGGCTCTCTCTTTAAATTTAGGTTTCAGAGGCCAAGCCCCAATTTTCCATAACTTTTATCATCTGCACTAGTTATAACCGTCATTACTTTCTCACGACTGATGGGCACGCATTTTATGTCAACAGTTTCAATAAATCCGGGATGAGGTTTTGAATTTCTTAGGGATTGACTGGCTTTAAATTATATTTATAATTTACTTTTAATGTTCAGAACAGAAGAAAAGGCCCTCTTAATTGCTGCACCTGTAAAGGGCGACCTCGAGGATAATTGAAATGACTTACTTGCATGAATCTTGGCCACTTTGCCATGTAATAACCATCTCTTAAACCCAAGAAATCAAGTTAATCTAATTCTTCGCCTAACGACCTGCCCCACCCTTCTCCTTCAGACCGAACAGACTCAAATCAATGCTTTCTCCTTTCCCTTGCAGTCTCCACGGCAGACCCGGTGGGCTCGGCCCGGGGTTCCGCGGAGGAGATGGCTTCCAGCCCGCTACCTGGGCCCAACGATATCCTGCTGGCCTCACCGTCGAGCGCCTTCCAGCCCGACGCGCTGAGCCAGCCACGGCCAGGCCACGCCAACCTCAAACCCAACCAGGTGGGCCAGGTGATCCTCTATGGCATTCCCATCGTGTCGTTGGTGATCGACGGGCAGGAGCGCCTGTGCCTGGCGCAGATCTCCAACACTCTTCTCAAGAACTTCAGCTACAACGAGATCCACAACCGCCGCGTGGCGCTGGGCATCACGTGCGTGCAGTGCACGCCAGTGCAGCTGGAGATCCTACGGCGCGCCGGGGCTATGCCCATCTCTTCGCGCCGCTGTGGCATGATCACCAAGCGCGAGGCCGAGCGTCTTTGCAAATCGTTCCTGGGCGAAAACAGACCGCCCAAGCTGCCCGACAACTTCGCCTTTGATGTGTCGCACGAGTGCGCCTGGGGCTGCCGCGGCAGCTTCATCCCGGCGCGCTACAACAGCTCGCGCGCCAAGTGCATCAAATGCAGCTACTGCAACATGTACTTCTCGCCCAACAAGTTCATCTTCCACTCGCACCGCACGCCCGACGCCAAGTACACGCAGCCAGACGCAGCCAACTTCAATTCCTGGCGCCGTCATCTCAAACTCACCGACAAGAGCCCTCAAGACGAGCTCGTCTTCGCCTGGGAGGACGTGAAGGCCATGTTCAATGGCGGCAGC